TCTCACGCTCCAAACTCTGCTGCTCCTCACACTCAGACAAAGAAGGGCCTGGTACTGAGTCGGGTAGGGGTGAGGAGGAGGAGTGGTCTCAGGAGACGAAGAAGAAGGAGAAGAACCAGCTCCGCCCTCGACAGTACCCGGCTGAGCACCCCCAGAGCGAGTACCTCCTGCGCAAGCACGACCAGCACCTGTAGGAGGTGTACCCGCACCCCCAGTCGTGGTGCCTCCAGTGGCACCAGCACCAGCCCCAGACTCTCCAGCTCCAGGCACACCACCAGCTCCGGCACCTCCACCAGCTCCAGCACCCTATGAACGGGCAGCTGCGGCAGGTGCACGCTCAGCGCCAACGCCAACACCCCCAGAACGGGCGGCTCCTGTAGGTGCACGAACAGCTCCAACGCCAGCACCCCCAGAGCGAGCAATGTCAGAGCCCTCACCTCGAGCACCAACACCCTCAGAGTCCGCAGTGGCCGGTAAAGGAAGCACTGACGGCTGCTACGAGGGCTGTGAGGACGACTGTGGGGAAGGAGGAGAGACCTGGGGGGGTACCGAGGAAGGGGGGGAAGGGTGGGACACACCAGACGGAGCGGGAACAGGGGGGGGTACCGGAGGAGCAGGGGCGGGAGGAGGAGGAGCTGGAGCCAGGAAGAGGGGAGGGGGGGGAACCGGGAGACCTCGACAGGGGTACCGGACGTAGTAGGGGACGGACTCGTCGAAACGGACGTCACGAGAGTCAAAGAACCGGTGGGAGGGAGGGTGGTAAAAGGTGATGTCAGAGGAGTCCTCTGTAAAAACCAAGGAAGACACAGGGGACGGCGCGAGGTGAGATCTTGTCCGCAGAGGTGTCGCGGACAAGAGCCAAGCAGCCCCAGACACTAAATTTCGACGCAACACCAGTTGACCCTGTCCAAAGACTGGTCGCTGAAGCCCCTGGCCGAGAGTCACGAGGCCAGAGGTTCAACTGGTGAGCGGCGTACCGAGCCGCGTAGGGCCACAGAAAATGGGGCGCGCGGGCGTGGATCATGGAGGTGCGGGCAATCTCCATGACCAGGCCTAGGCGGCGCTCAGCAACCCCATTCTGCTGTGGAGAGTCTGGAAGAGTCCAGGACTGGGTGATGCCCTGCTCAGCACAGAATCTGGCGAGAATGCCGGAGCGAAACTCACCCCCACGGTCGGAGTGGAGACAACTGACACGACGACGGCGAGTACTCTCGGTGGCGAGCAGCCACCGGATCAGCGTAGAAGTCACGTCGGACTTCTTCGCCAAAGGGAACACGGTGGTGTACCGGTAGTAATCGTCAATGACCACCATAAAGAAACACTCCCGCTCATGGCCAAGATGGGGGCCCCAGACGTCTAAGTGGAGTGTCTCGAAGGGCTCAGTGGCCGGACGAAGGGAGGAGGAGTGAGGGGTGGCGCGCAGCCGACCCTGGACACAAGGTCCGCTCGGAGGAGCTGGGGACGGCGGGAGCGGCCTAAGGACTCGGGGGAGGCCTAAGACAAGACGCTGACTGGACATAGCACGGAGTCGAGGGAGGGACGGGTGACCAAGGCGGTGGTGCCAGAGGAGGGAGGGGTGGGCAAGCGACCGACACGAGCACGACGCAGCAACTAGACCAGGCACAGCAACCTGACTGGACCCGGCTTCTTGGTGGGACCGAGGAACCTGACGGGGGTCGCTGCAGAGAGTGTACAGACCGGAGCCCGGCTCCTGGCGAAAAGTGGCCAAGGGGGCGTACGTGTCACCGTCCACACAGACCGCGGTGTCACCAGAAGGCTCAACCCAGACCCCGACGTGCTGTCTCGCCAGGGGGCCCACACCAACCAGGTTCCTAGAGAACGTAGGAACGTGGAGGCCAGTCAGGGAACCGGAAGGGGCAGCTGGGCACGGGAGTGTAGTGGCGTGAGTCGCAATGACCGGTCCCGAAGAGGGATCGGCCAGTGCTATGGAGACTGGCGCCGGTAGTGGAGAGAGAGTCGTGCGGTCGCGAAAGAAGCACTGCGTCGCTCCTGAGTCCAGTGTGAAGGAGAGAGACGCGTCCGCCGAGGGAGTACCTGTACTAGTAGCTAAACAAGATCCTACACTGGCACCTACTCTAGCAACAGGCAAAGATCCTACGCTAGGTACAGGCAAGTACACAGATCCAGGAGCACTATAGTCAACATCAGCATACATGGCATAAGACCTAGCATCATCCATAGTCATATCAAAAACAGAGATACCACGAGCAAGGCGTGTCCCCCAGCGTGGCGGCGGGGGAGCGGAGGGGCCGTGGTGCAAGAGGTAGAGGTCATCGAGACGACTGAAGCAGCGTGCTGCAGAGTGGTCAGGGTGGCCACAGTACGAGTCCTACGTGGACCCATAAGGATCCAGTACTCACAGCGAGGTCCCCGACTGGAGGGGGCGCCACTGCGCCCAGTGCTCGGGGGGACCTGCAGACCTCCACTATTGCGGAGGGCCCCACTGCTGAGGCTGATGCTGTGGCGGGCGCTGTTACTGGCCCTGTCACTACAGGTGCTGTCCCTGCTGCTGCTGCTGTCCAGGCGGTGGCAGCTGCTGAGAAGCCGGCTGCTGCTGCTGTTGCTGGAACCCCTCACTACCAGTGAAAACTCCATCGTCGAGAGGAGGGTCGTCAAGTCCCGAGCCACCCCCACCACCACTCCCACCACCTGCTCCACCGCCACCGCCACTACCCGCACCACCTCCAGTACCCCCGCCGCCCTTCCCGCCCTTCTTACCGGCCTTGCCACGTTTCTGTCCGCCAGAGACAGAAACAGCCGCCGTCTCCTCAGAGGCAGAAGACGTGGGGGTGGCAAGTGAGGCAGTGAAGGTGGGAAGCTGTGGTACCGCACACCCCTCAAAAAGACGAGGAGGAGGCGCGGAAGAGGCAGAGGCAACAGTGAGGAGGTTACTCTCGATCTTCGAGAGAGCAGTCTCAAGAAGATCGATGGTAAGCTCAGTGGGGTGCTTCAGAAGAAGCGCGTCGCGGGCTGTGGCTAGGCGGTCAGGGAGGCGAGTGACTAGCCAGTGAATAGTGAGCCACATAGGGGGCGGGGCAAGGGCAAGCTGGTCCTCAGTGCAAGCAGCGCGAAAGCGAGCGTCAAGGGAGCGAAGGTGGGTAGCGAGGTCAGAAACCGTCTCAAAGGAGGCGAGGTCAGGCTAGACAAAGGATACGGGGAGGCGACTGAGGGAGGCAGAGGAGGGAGTGGAGTAGCGAGCAACAATGGCCTGATATAAATTGGCGGCGGACTCGACCTTGGTGAAGTGGACCGCCTCTGTCGGCGGGAGAAGGTCGGTCAGGGCGAGGCAGGCAGCAGCGTCACGAAAATCCCATACGTCGCGAGCGAGGAACTGGCGCTGGTACTCGGCCTGCTGCTCAGGAGTAGGCAATGGGTAGTGGGCAGCGGGTTAGGCTGCTGAGGGGCGGTCTGAGTACCGGACGCGTGTGCGAACAGGTGCACGCCATCCTGCCGCTGGCTCTTAAGGTGGCGCTGCGCCTGCGTAAGCCACGTACTAAAGTCAATCGGTCTCCCCTCAGGGTCAAAACGGAGTACTCGGGAGGTCGCTATAGGGGGCGAAAGTGAGAGAGTGCGGCTGACAGCCAGCCGCGGGAGGGTGAGACAGTCAGTGGCGTGTGGGCAGGCGCGCAGGCGTGCAGGTGGGCAGGCGGCGCGGCATGCGGACAGGCGAGCAGTGCGGCGCACTGGCTGGTGGGCGGCGCGGCGCGCTGGCTGGCGGGCCGTCCGTGGCGCGCTGGCGTGGCGCGCTCGCGTGCGTGGCGGCGTGGCGCGCTGGCGTGGCGCGCTGGCGGGGCGCGCTGGCGTGCGCGCTGGCGGGGCGCGCTGGCGTGCGCACTAGCGGGGCGTGCTGCGTGCGCGTTGGCATGATGCGCTAGCGTGCGCGCTAGCGGGGCGCGCTGGCGGGCCTGCTGGCTAGGGCGCTGGCGGGCCTGCTGGGGGCACACCAAGGCTAGAGGAGCCCTAAATCTAGGGACGGCGGAGACTAGGAACGGCGGAGACTAGGAACGGCGGAGACTAGGTGTGGCCTAGGGACGGCGAACCTACTACTAATACCATCTCACGTGAAAACAGCGGAATGTGTTCTTTTGATTGGGTTGGGGTACAAATGCCTAACCCTAACTGTTTGTACCCCATATAGCATAACCCACTAGAGGCTATAACATTTGACATAGGCCCTCACTTGTAATTGTACCTTCGTTTAGTCATAGCTACGAATGTGCTGATTTTGATCTGACCCCTCTTAGCAACTCAAAGACTCAGTACTACTAGTGTAGCCTATGAGGCAGATGGTCCTTAGGAGATTTTAGCGAAAAAGACGACCGAAGAAGCCGAGACATCAGGGTATCACACAAATATATGTAACATTTCCAAATCAAACAATCTTTCCTAGGAACAAAAAGTAGATTCCACAGTACAACATACCAGGAAGCACACGCTAGTAATCCCATATCTAGTACCACACACTAAGTAAACTAGCCAACCGTCAGGCAAAGTTGGTTCCTGGCTTCCGAGAAACCGCATGCAGTTGCTCGCACCTCTGCCCCAAAAGCCTCAGGAGATCCGACGTCCCTCTAGCGCTGCCAGCTTGCGCCTCCCTGCTCCGTGCCCATCAAGCTACCATCGCCCATTCTTTCGTCTTTCCAACACCCACCCCTTCATGGTGGAAATGGAGGGGAGGGGTCAAAAGGGAGGGCGAAGGAGGGCGATGGGAGGGGCTGAATGGAAGGCAGGTAGAGCCCGTCAGTGCAGAGATGGGATGAGAAGTGAAAAAGAAATGAGATGAGACTGAGCGATGGTAGAGAGATGGGATGAAGTGAGAAAGAAGTGAGATGAGACTGAGAGATGGTAGAGTTAGCCAGTGCAGAGCCCGCTCTTGGTGTAGCCGGCGTCACAATGGCAAATACACGACAAGTTACCATAGATATACACGAGAAGTTGAGTTTTTCTTGTTGGCAAACATGCAACAACCAGCAACGCACCTAACGAGGAAGAGAGGGGACGAGGCAGAGCTTCTTAGCGGCGTTGAACACGAGGCCCCTGGCGCACTGGCACTGCTGCTGGCCCTCCTTCACCACGCAGTGCGCACTTCCACAATCCTTCTCACACACGGCTGTTGTGGGCACCACACAGGGTCAAACAACCCAGGCATGTAGAGTCAAGGAGGTAGCTTCTCAGAAAATAGGGAGGCAAAAAAAGAATCACAAAAACGAGGTCGGGAGTGGTTCTTGCACTCTCCCATGTCATCACTTATCTCAGAATGAGCGAAGCACATGCTAGTGCGTTTGGAGATATTCTTTCATGTGCAGGTGACACTCCGTAGAAAAAGTAAAAACAACCCTAGTATTTGCGTGCATGCGCTCTCTCACTTACTGATCTCACACCCAACTGATAGCAGCGATTTGATTCCTTTGACAGTCCTAAGAGAGGGGAAGAATAGGGAAGATGAGCACAAAAGGATAAGAAGGAGATGAGGACGGGTTCCGAAATTTGCTTCATTCACGCTACAACTACAACGGTCAAGCGAATTCTGGTGATAGAAGAGCATCGTACTATGTGCTGCAAGCACACCGGAAAAATCACACCAGTCGCGTGCATCACGCGCACTCACTTTTTCGTGACGGGGTAGGAACTGCCCTTCTTTGCAGGACGTGCGATGGTAAACCCCAGCTTATTTCTGCAGTCCGACTCGCCGTAGAACGACAGGCTCTTGCACATGGCGTTGCTGGGCGCGTCGTTGCTATGCGAGGCGGGGTTGGAGGCATTCCACACGACGGAGATCTTGGTGGTGCCTTGGAGCATGACGTCCAGGTTGCCGCACGCGCCGCTGCCACTGGCACTCGCCTGCTCGGCAGGCAGGTGCGACAGGAAGGTGGCGCCCGCCAGGCCGAAGCCACTCGCCTGCAGGGCCACCGTCGTGCGCACCAACGGGGCTGACCAGCCGTTGGGAGCGTTGGGACCGTTGGGACCGTTGGGAGCGTTGAGAGCGTTGAGAGCGTTGAGAGCGTTGAGAGCGTTGAGAGCGTTGAGAGCGTTGAGAGCGTTGAGAGCGTTCACCATTAAAGGTTGCGTGACAATGATTCGGGGGTAAAGGCGTCGAGTTGGAGCAGGACAGGGGAGGAGAGGACGGGGGCAGGAAGGAGGGAAGGTGCGGGAGGAGTGAGGAGGGGTGAACGTTCCAGGTCCTGCCTCTCAGCGGCGCCTCTCAGTGCAGCCTTTTGAAATGCTGAAACGCTCGGATGCTGAATTGCGAGTGCCTAAAACAATGTCATGTCTAGCGCTCATCAGTGCAGCACTCACCAAAGCACGTCTGGTAAGCCTCGTTGTAGCTGTAACCTTGCTTGTTGCAAACGCAAAGGAAGTTGGTAGAAGTGAGAGCAGTGCAGGAAGCATCTAGCCCACACACCCCACCAGCACACGGGCCTGCAGAGGAAGGCATGGGCGGGTTAAATGAGTGGAAATGTTGCTTATCATTGTGTACTGTGAACTCGCCCACACTTACACACTCACCAAGACGCGCTCATCCACCCACCCACGAGCACTCACCCACCCACGAGCACTCACCCACCCACGAGCACTCACCCACACACGTCCTCTGGACTTCGTCAAACACCAGACCATCGTTGCACACACAATTGGCCCCAAAGTCCACATCAACTTTGCAGGTAGCTTCCCCACAATCCGTCGTGATACACGGATCTGCACAGAAATCGCAATTGAGTCAAGTCAAGTAAGGACAAAGAGGCGCACACACCAGCACAGAAGCAAGGTGTGGAAAGGGATCAGGCAGATAGATTCTGCTTATGATTTGCACTCCCCCACACAGCAATCACCCACACACCAGCACTCACCCACACACGTCTTTTGGACTTCGTCGAATTCATAACCACCCGTGCACACGCACAAGGCCCCAAACCTTTCATCAATAGTGCAGGTAGCTTCCCCACAATCCTTCTTCGCACACGGATCTGCACAGAACTCGTGATTGTTTCAAGTAAGGGCAAGGAGGCATGCACACCAGCACAGAAGCAAAGTAGGGGAAGGGAGTTAAAAACAAGGTAAAATATGGCATGGTTGTGCGCTCAACCGCGCTTCAGCACTCATCCACGCCGGCACTACAAGCCCACTGCCAGTGCAAGGAGAAGCAGGTGGGTGCCATGACTGCCAGTGGCGTGTGGCAATCAGCGGACTCACCATCTTCAGCGGCGCTGGCGTGGGTCGCGAGGAAGCTGATGGCAACGACACCCGCGACGAGTGCGGCGAGGCCGGACAGGCCGGACAGGCGCGCGCAGGGCTTCATGGCGACGGGAGTCGGCGCGGGGAAACGGGAAGGCGGGGAGGCGCGGATCGTGATAACGGTGGAATGGCGAGAAGCTTCCGATCAGAGCTGAACCGCCAAGATGGGACTCACGCCGCTGGTAGCCGCGACGACTGGTAGTCGTGACGTCACAGTCACGACTGGTAGTCACCGTCACAGTCGAAGGTGAGTCGGGCGGAACCTTGAAGGTGCGGCGACTGAGAAGAGAGGAGTCGAGGGCGCGCAATGAGCGAGGAGCGACGGGAGAATGTGATTGAGCCCTTGGGAGGGCGTCGAATTATGTGCTGGGAGCCAGTGGTTGAAGGCACATCTTGATTTATTTGATTCGCGAAAGCTGTTGAACGTCTCGACGCGGAAGGAGGAAGGGAGTGGGGAGGGGGAAGGGGGAGGAGCGGAGGAAACTGAGGGGGGTCGGCGCTGCCGAGGCCCGGAAACCTTGGGAAGGAGGAAGGAAACATTGGGACTAGGCGATGGTGTTGGGGCAACGCGAGGGAGTCGATGGGTGGTGTGCGGTTTTTCGTCGTCATGATGGGCACAAGGCGGAGGGACGCGAATGGATGCACGAGGAACGCGTCGGAAAGGCGCCAGCTAGCGGCTAGTGAACGCGTTTAGGCAGCCATCTTTGTGGCTGAATCTTTGTGGCGGGGCGCAAGGGAAAGCTTTCGCCTGTAGTACCAGTAGCGCGCTCTAGTATATCAGGGTCGCAAGGTTGCGGGACTTGCGGAGAGTGATTCCTGGGCATGCGTGAAGTGCGCTAATTGTCAGGCTTAGCGCAAAATGCGGTAACGGATCACTCAATGGCGGAACCGCTCGGTTGGGCAAGGTGGGTGGTTTTCTGGGCACGATGGGGAGGGGGCTGGTGTTTTGCTCGAGTCGAGAATGTTTGACCGTTGGATTGGGAACGCGTACCATTTCATGGATGGTCGGAGCAGCGTTGATTTGGGCAAGATTTGGAGCTGCTGAGGGCTCCAAGTACTGGTCCCAGACGTATCGAAAGGCCCGCTCGGAAGTGGTTCGGGCAGAGAATGAAGGCCGAACCAACCTGACACAAGCCCCTGTGAAATATACCCGATAAAGTACTGTACAACTACAGTAAGGAACTCAAATCAAATTCCTAAAATCATCAGCCCGACACCATTTACAAAATCTGGCGCTGCGGCAGCTGCTATGCAAATCATCCTGCCATACACAGCCTAGCGATCTCAATAGCAACAGCAGCAGAGGAGCAGCGATAGCACAGCAGCAGCCGCAATCTAGGGCCCGCCTGCGCTTCGAAGCTACACGCATAAGCACGGTCCACGCGTGGTGCGCAAAACCGCCGCCTGCCATCACTGTCTCGCGTGCCTCGCCGCCGCGGACACCATTCCCGCACACAGCCCGTTCGTCGCGCGCCCCTCGCCTCTCGCCGCTCGCAGCGCGCCGCAGGAGGCGGCATGGCGGCGTTCGTGCTGGAGGCGTTTCCCGGGCGCACGCTGCACGTGCTGCTCTTCCGCGATGTTGTCAACTCCGCGTACGTCCTCCCGCGCCTCCCCCTCGCTTCCCCCCGCGCCGTCCCCTCGCACCCTCCCGCGCAGTCCCCTCCCACTCTCCCGCTCTCGCGTCCCCCTCTCCCGCCGTTGCCCGCGACCCCGCGAGTGAGCACGCCCATTCGTGGTTACCGCGGTCGTTCCTCTCCCGCTCCACTACCCCCGCCAGGCTCTTCTGAGTCGCCCTGCTCGCCCTTGCCCAGCGCGGAAGCCGCCCTTGCCCAGCGCGGAAGCCGCCCTTGCCCAGCGCGGAAGCCGCCCTTGCCCAGCGCAACCCCTGTGCGGGCTGCGCCTCTCGTTCCCCTCCACCCCCGCCATCCCTCCTCTGTCCCCATCGCCCAACACCCACCCGACCTCCCCCACCTCCCCCCTTCCCCTCCCTCCCTGCCCCCTTCTGTCTCCCCTCACGCACGCTTTTACTCCCCTCCTTCCTCTCCCTCCACCCAAAACCACTTCCCTTCCCCCCTCCCACACTCGCGAGGCTGCTCCTGCGTCAGCTGCTGGACTGGGCACTGCAGTGGGAGGCGAGTGTTGACGCACGTACACCACCCCCACCCCATCCCTGCGCTCGCTCCTTCCCTGCCGGCGCACCCTCCATTGGCCTCCACCTCCCCTACCCCCGTCCCCTCCCCTACCCCCGTCCCCTCCACTACCCCCGTCCCCTCCCCTACCCCCGTCCCCTCCCCTACCCCCGTCCCCGTCCCCTACCCCCCCCCTCCCCTCCCCTACCCCCGTCCCCTCCCCTACCCCCGTCCCCTCCCCTACCCCCCGTCCCCTCCCCTACCCCCCGTCCCCTCCCCTACCCCGTCCCCTCCCCTACCCCCGTCCCCTCCCCTACCCCCGTCCCCTCCCCCTACCCCCGTCCCCTCCCCTAACCCCCGTCCCCTCCCCTACCCCCGTCCCCTCCCCTACCCCCGTCCCCTCCCCTACCCCCGTCCCCTCCCCTACCCCCGTCCCCTCCCCTACCCCCGTCCCCTCCCCTACCCCCGTCCCCTCCCCTACCCCCGTCCCCTCCCCTACCCCCGTCCCCTCCCCTACCCCCGTCCCCTCCCCTACCCCCGTCCCCTCCCCTACCCCCGTCCCCTCCCCTACCCCCGTCCCCTCCCCTCCCCTACCCCCGTCCCCTCCCCCTACCCCCGTCCCCTCCCCTACCCCCGTCCCCTCCCCTACCCCCGTCCCCTCCCCTACCCCCGTCCCCTCCCCTACCCCCGTCCCCTCCCCTACCCCCGTCCCCTCCCCTACCCCCGTCCCCTCCCCTACCCCCTCCCCTCCCCTACCCCCGTCCCCTCCCCTACCCCCGTCCCCTCCCCTACCCCCGTCCCCTCCCCTACCCCCGTCCCCTCCCCTACCCCCGTCACAGCTGGCATCACAGCTGGCATCACAGCTGGCATCACAGCTGGCATCACAGCTGGCATCACAGCTGGCATCACAGCTGGCATCACAGCTGGCATCACAGCTGGCATCACAGCTGGCATCACAGCTGGCATCACAGCTGGCATCACAGCTGGCATCACAGCTGGCATCACAGCTGGCATCACAGCTGGCATCACAGCTGGCATCACAGCTGGCATCACAGCTGGCATCACAGCTGGCATCACAGCTGGCATCACAGCTGGCATCACAGCTGGCATCACAGCTGGCATCACAGCTGGCATCACAGCTGGCATCATACAAGTGCATCTGTCTCTGCCCGCCCCCGTCTCCTCACTCCCCGCTCTTCGTTTTCATCTCCCTCATCCCTCCCCCTCCGTGCAGCTGGCGGCAGTGAGGGCGCTGGTGAAGGGCACAGAGGTGGACCTGGCACAGCTTTCCACGTCAGCCTCTCAGGCTGATGTCATCAAGGTGCGTGCTCATGCGTTGTGGCACCGTCGCGCACCTCTCTTTGCTTCATGCCTGCTCCACTCTCTTCCCCCCTATCCCCACCCCCCATCCAGTCCCTGACCCTTGCCTCACCCTCTTCCTCACACACCCTGCTTCCCAAACCCCCCTTCTCAACTCACCCACCCCTCCTCCCCCCCCCCCCTCCCCGATACCCTTGCGCAGCACTTCAAGATGGCGGCGCCTGAGTTGGCAGTGTGGTCGCTGGAAGATGCCATTGCGGCCCGCATTGCCGTGCGCGACAGCTGCTGATGCCGCTGATGCTGCTGCTGCAGATGCTGGTGGGGGGCAGCTGGTGATGGTGGTGGTGTGGATGAATGCGGTGCTAGCGAAAGAGGGGCCACACCTGCATGCATGTGGTGTCGTATGCGTGGGAGTCTCCGCGCACACGCAGAGGGCAGGTGGAGGCAGAGGCTGGTAGCGAAATAAAGGCCCGTGTGCAGTGCAGTGCACGCGTGAGTCTGCTTCTACGAGCGCTGCTGTCCCGGGAGGATGCATTGCTAGTGTTGGGTGCTGCTGCTGCAGCACCCAGTTGCGCAACAAGGTGTGAGCTACAGCAGGTTGCAAGAGGAGCAATAGGAGCATGTGGACATAGATGGGGGATGTGTTGGTTTCCTGCTGTTGTACAGGAGTGTGTTGCCTGCCAGTGCACTTTGATATGGCAGCATGGGACACTGCCTGCTGGATGAAGGGGCAAGCTTTACATGTCAGTAAGGCTTTCAGAAGTGGCTAAAATATCTGCATGCCAGTATGTTTGAGAAAATTGAATTGCAGTGCTAGGTTTACCTTCGCACAAGTGCCATACACAAGGGCTGCCAACTACTGCGCCATCGGAATAATGCTTCCACACTACAAGATCGACTACGTTACTGTCCTTCCAATGCGACAAGGAATCGTAATCAAGCAGCTGGCGCAGCAGGCGCTCCTGCCCCTGCACCTTTCCCACCACCCGCCCTGCCGCCTCTCCTCTTGCGCCGCCCCCACGGCCACCACCTGAGCCGTGGCTCGGGCGGAAAGAGGCTCCGACGGTGGTGGTTCCCCGACCGCTCCCACGCGCAGTAGATGGCAGCCGCGGCAAACACAGCAGCGGCAGAGAGTGCAGCGAGGAGGCCGAAGTGGCGCACGTCGTGGGCGGCGATGGCGAGGGCCAGCATGATGAGCTCCGCCAGGCTGGCCAGGGCGACTTCAGTGGTGCCCACTATGTTGGCCTGCGCGGGCGGGATGGCCACCTGGAATATCTGCGCGTCCACCACGTCGTACGTCCAGTGGCCCAGCCGGGATACCACCTGCAATGCAAGGAGGGGCGTGGATTGGCGTGCATGGGGGGGAGGGTGGAGGGGAGTAGGGTGGGACACTGATGGACCTCTGATGAAGATTTGCGCGTCCACCACATCGTACGTCCAGTGACCCAGCCGCGATACGGTACCACCTGGGGAGAGAGGGGCGTGCGGGGGGTTTCGGTGGGAGCGTGCATGTAGTAGAAGATGTGTCCAGTGGCCCACATGGGATCTCACCTGCAGGAAAGGGGTAGTGGTGGGTCCACAGGAGCTGCAGCGCTGCGGCTCCTCATAGAGACGCACAGCCCTGCTAGAGCTGGGATGAAGACGGAAGGAATGACGCGGGGATCAGTGGGAGACTCTGCTCCGTACATGGCGTGCTGTGGGGTTTCAGGGGTAACTCTCGAACGGGGTAACCTGGTAGGAATAAGCAACTAGTGGTATGGGTGCGACGAGGGTTACCAACAAGGGAACTCACGACGAGGGCGAGGAAGGCGAGGAGCAGCGAGTGGTGGTGGCGCATGGAGTGGGAGACGGCGAACACTGCCAGGGATGCCGCCAGCACCACCGACTGGAACAGCAGCGCTGCTCCGCCCGCCTGGTGCATGGGGTAGGGGGGGAAGGGGGCAGGGTGAGGGGGGAGGAGAAAGATGTGGGTGGGGTGAAGGGATGAGGGCTATCTCGCAATGAGGACGAGGAAGGCGAGGAGCAACCAGCACGAGCGACTGGAACAGCAGCGCCGCCCCGCCCGCCTGGTGCATGGGGTAGGGTGGAGAAGAGGCAGGACGAGGTGGTGTGAATGGATGGATGGGGGGGGCAGTTGAGGCGGAGGGTGGGCAGTCCCGGACGGGGGTGCAGTATGGGCAGCGGGAGGGCAGGGTTGGTGGAGTGAAGAGGACTCGTAGAGGAGGCGAGGAGATGGTGATGGCGCAGCCACTTGGAGGCGCAAGGGGATGTGGGAGGGAAATAACACGGTGGGACGGAGGTCGTGGGAGGCTGGATAGTTGATGAAACCTAACACGCCTCACCTGCACCACGCCTCACCTGCACCACGCCTCTCTCGCTCCCACCTGCAGCAGACCTCGCTCTCATCTCACCTGCAGCAGACCTCGCTCTCATCTCACCTGCAGCAGACATCGCTCTCATCTCATCTGCAGCAGACCTCACTCTCATCTCACCTGCAGCAGACCTCGCTCTCATCTCACCTGCAGCAGACCTCGCTCTCATCTCACCTGCAGCAGACCTCGCTCTCATCTCACCTGCAGCAGGCCTCGCTCTCATCTCACCTGCAGCAGACCTCGCTCTCATCTCACCTGCAGCAGACCTCGCTCTCATCTCACCTGCAGCAGACCTCACTCTCATCTCATCTGCAGCAGGCCTCGCTCTCATCTCACCTGCAGCAGGCCTCGCTCTGACTGACCTGCAGCAGACCTCGCTCTCATCTCACCTGCAGCAGACCTCGCTCTCATCTCACCTGCAGCAGGCCTCGCTCTCATCTCACCTGCAGCAGGCCTCGCTCTCATCTCACCTGCAGCAGACGTCGCTCTCATCTCACCTGCAGCAGACCTCGCTCTCATCTCACCTGCAGCAGACCTCGCTCTCATCTCACCTGCAGCAGGCCTCGCTCTCATCTCACCTGCAGCAGGCCTCGCTCTCATCTCACCTGCAGCAGACCTCGCTCTCATCTCACCTGCAGCAGGCCTCGCTCTCATCTCACCTGCAGCAGGCCTCGCTCTCATCTCACCTGCAGCAGGCCTCGCTCTGACTGACCTGCAGCAGGCCTCGCTCTCATCTCACCTGCAGCAGGCCTCGCTCTGACTGACCTGCAGCAGGCCTCGCTCTCATCTCACCTGCAGCAGGCCTCGCTCTGACTGACCTGCAGCAGACCTCGCTCTCATCTCACCTGCAGCAGGCCTCGCTCTGACTGACCTGCAGCAGACCTCGCTCTCATCTCACCTGCAGCAGGCCTCGCTTTGACTGACCTGCAGCAGGCCGAGGCGGGTGATGATGAAGGGCGAGAGGAAGGTGGCGGCGAATCCCATGGCGGCACACGCGCCTCTGAACGCGCCTATCACTGACACGTCCACGCCTGAAGGTGGGAGAGAAGCGGAGCAGCATGGAGAGGGATGAGGAGCGGTGAGAGCAAGGTGGCGGCACACGCGCCCCTGAACGCCCCTATTACGGACACTTCCTCTCCTGGGGGTGGCGAGGGAGAGGGATGGAGAGAGATGGGCGAATGGGGCGAGCTATGTAGGCAGGATGGGACGCGCCGACCACCCATGGGGGCGAGAGGTGGAGCCGTGGTGAGACGGTGAGATGGAGGGATAAGGCGGATGGGGAGAGCAAGGTGTGATGGAAAAGGATGGTTCACTCAACCCAGTGCCCCACCATGCGTGCCCCACCATAGCCAACTTGCAAGCCCCCACCACAGTCCCTCGAAAAGTCACACGCATTGGCCGACGCACCTTGCTGCGTGAGGAAGCTGGTGATGAGTCCGCCGGGCGAGAGCACGCAGTTGAAGAAGAGCAACACGTACGCCACACTCACGGGCAGCACCGGCTGCCCCAGGAAACTTTTCCACCCGCGCACCACTGACCGGAATGACATCCCCAGAACTGACCCAGCTGCCCGGAAGCTCCCAGTGAGTGCGGCTGCTACGGCCCTGGCTGCTGCCGTGAGGAGCAGCGTGGGCGGCGGAATGCTGGCAGCAGGGGCGGGTGAGCGGGTGGATGTGTGTATTCTTTCCATCTCCCTGCTGCTCCTGCTGCTGCTGCTGCTGCTGCTAGAATGCGTAGAGGGAGCTACCAGTGAGACTTGCAGCGTGGTGGGCGGCTTGGGGCGGCTGAGAACGCCGTTGGACTGGCGGTCGGTGAGCAGCACGAGGCAGATCTGACGGGGAGAGGGAAGGAGGCAGGGGAGCGAGTGTGAGGGCTCAGATGGTTGCTCGATAAAAACGGTGCATCGAGGAAAGACAACGACCCTCAGGCTAGACTGAACGAAGGTTAAACAGGTGAATGAGCAGAAGAGGTTAGCCGGTGGAATTGAGAGGTGGAGTGAGCGCACTCCAGCGAGTGTAAATGGAATGGAAGTAGGCCCTGGGTTTTGGGGCAGCCAGAGAAGCAACATACTAGGATGGGAAGGGAGAGCAGCTCACGAGGATGGGGAGGGAGAGCAGCTCACGAGGATGGAGAGGGAGAGCAGCTCACGAGGATGGGGAGGGAGAGCAGCTCACGAGGATGGGGAGGGAGAGCAGCTCACGAGGATGGGGAGGGAGAGCAGCTCACGAGGATGGGGAGGGAGAGCAGCTCACGAGGATGGGGAGGGAGAGCAGCATGGTGGCGAGGGATGCGTTGATGCACACCACAGGGCTGAACGCCGACAGCAGCCACCCAAACACCAGCGGCCCTGCCACCTGGCACCAAGGGATTGGATGGAGGTGGGAAGGGGTGAAAGGAGAGAAATGTTGAGAACGGGAGCCGGGGGTTGCGCGAGGGTTATTGGTGTTTGAGGTGGGAAGCACGAGACAGTACGAAGGGAGAAGCGAGGGAGGGCAGACGCTCATGTCCGATAGGCTCATGTCCGATAGGCTCATGTCCGATAGGCTCATGTCCGATAGGCTCATAAACCAAATGATAGAGACGGATAGGCCAATCGGCTTATGGAAGCTGATGCCGTAGGCTCGGCATCACAGCCTTGCCACAAGCACGCCCATAGCATAGCACAGCAGCCGGGTCACGCACGTCACAGAAGAGGTCAGCCCGGCGCAGCATGGCGTTGGCGTTGGCCAGCGCTGCCGCGTTGTCCTGCCCTGCCAGCTGCCGCGCGGGTGGGGGTGGGGTGAGAGCAAGGATGGGGTGCAGGGGTGAGAAGGGCGACAAGGTAAGATCATGGGTCACGATGAAGGGAGGGGAAGATGAGAGAAGAGGTGAAGAGAGTAAAGATGAAATCACATAAATGCACTGCAGGTAGGGACACAGTGCAGTGCAGCAAGTACATCCCCACCCAGCCTCTTCCCCTGGCCCCCACCCTCCTTCACCTCCCTTCCTCTCCCCCATCGCCTTACCAGAATGACCCAGTCGCGTTCAAACGCCACACCAGAGGCGATGCCAGTGATGCGCTCCACAGCGCCCGCCACCACCAGCACCACGAACCACCCCCTCCTCATCAGCGCCGCCCCCGTCTGCCCCGCTGCTGCTGGCGCCGCGTGCACTGCTGCTAGCGTGGCTAACGCTGCTGCTACCATGGCTGCTGTCTGGGGGAGGGGAGGAGGAGAAGGGGAGGGGGAAGCAGGGGGGGAGCAGGAGGGAAGGAGGGCGTGGGGGGAAAGAAAGGGGAAATGTGTGCACAATGTTAGTATGGCCAGGACTGCCGCCACCATCACTGCTGTCCGCGGGAGGAAAGGGGAGTAAGGGTGTGGGCGTGGGGGAGAAGACGGAGGAAGCAATGTGGCATGCACTGCTGCTGGCGCCGCGTGCACTGCTGCTAGCGTGGCGCGGCCACCACCATGGCTGCTGTGTAAGGGAGGTGGGGGAAAGAGGATGAGAAGAGAATGGGAAGCTGCTGTATGTCGGCTTTGCCACAAGCAACCGTGGCAGCCGCCTCAGGAAAAGGCGGAAGCAGTGTGGTAAGCATGGCTAGCGTTGCCACAAACATGGCTGCTGCCTGGGGGAGGGGGCGTTGAAGCGGGGAGCAGGGGGGATTGGTGTGGGCACATCACATGGTGGTACGCACTTCTGCCAACGCCACGTGCGCTCCTGACTGCTCTCGCGGGCAGCGCTGCTGCCAGCATGGCTGTTGTCAGGGACGAGGGGGGAGAACAGGATGAGAGGCGGCCGGGGGCTGATGGGACGGAGAGGGGAATTGTGCGAAAAAAGACAAGAAAGCTGGAGAGGAGGCCTGCTCTCAGAATCTTGGTAAGAAACAGTTCCTTTGAATTCTGACCTGGATGCACGAGATGGTGTTGAAAGCAGCGACCCGTGGCGCGGAGTCCATCATGTCGCCCACCAGTGGCGCCCCCACGAACACCACCAGCTGCCACCCATGGGGGGTCGAGGATGGGATGGGGAGAGCGCAATGGGAGGGGATAGAGGAGGAAGGAATGGGAGGATGGGGGATGGATAGTGAGGACGACAGAGGAGAATGAGATGAGGATGAGGGAGGTGAGGGGAAGTGCAACGTGCGAAGCTGAGCAAGTGAGACGGTGAGAGGAGAACACAGGCGAGGGATGGGTGGGGCGAAAGCGTGGTAGATGGGCGGCACGGCACCTGGCTGGCGAAGCTGGCGACGGCGACGGGAAGCAGCGAGTCGTGCAGCAGAGCGAGCAGAGCCGCGCCCGTGAAGCGCCACGCGTGCTCCACAAAGCAGTTGAACATGAATGATAGGTACAGCGCTGAGGGGGGAGGTGTGGCGGACGCCAAGGGGAAAGCGGAAGGAGGGCGCAGTGGAAGGGAGGGGTAACGGACGGGGGCAAAGGGGAAGGGGGTACAGGGGAAGGGGGCACAGGCACAGTGGAATGGGGGATATGTTATTCAAGTGTTGAGGCTGTCTCATATAGTTCCGACACAGCAACGACAAGGATATCTTCATGCTCGGGTTGTTGTAGCTTGACGTGTAGTGTTAACGATGGCCTTAGTTGTTACAAGTAACTACGTGGAGCGACGGCAGCAGTGCTTGCGCTTGCCCTTGCTGTTAGTACCAGCCCCCTGCGCGCCTGCCCTTGCTGTTCTTCAGTGCTTTCCCCAGCCCTCCCTGCCGCACGTTAAGAGGAGAGGGCGTGGGGGCACCCAGCACGTACAGTTGAGGGCGGCGGGGTAAGCGGGCGGTCTGCCTTCCACCGCCACTGCCTCGTCGTCACTCGACTCCGCGCCCCCACCTGCATCCGCGCGCACCCCCCGCCCCGCGTGCTCCGCCGCGCCTGCTGCGCCCTTCCGCGCAACCAGCAGCTCAACCGTGTCATCCGCGCAAATGCTGCCCTCCCCATCTCGTGCGCCCCCCCACTCCTCCCCGCTCTCGCCCCACCTCGTGGTCACCCCCGATACCGCCTCGACCTCAACCGCCTCTCCCTCCCCGCCCTCCGCCTCCCCCTCCCCCACTATCGCCTCTTCCTCCGCCTCTCCGCCCTCCGCCTCTCTCCTCTCCGCCTCCAAGCGCGACTCCCGCATCGCCAGCTCCAGCTGCGCACGCTCGAGCTCCAGCCTCCCCCGCGCCACCTCAGATTCCCCCCCTTCCCTCGCGGCCTCCGCTTCTTCCGCCAGACTCAACCCCGCGTTCCCCTCCGCCCCCAGCCTCACCCACGCTTCCTCCGCGCCCTCCGCGTCCCCCGTGCCAGCGCACACCACCCCGGCAATATGCGCCCCCGTGCTATGCGCCACCGCCCCGCCCACAGCCCGCGCAATCAACTCCGCCTCGTCCGCCGCCGCCCACACGTCCCCCTGCTCCGCGAGTCCGTCCCCACGCGCCCCAAGCCCCTCGTTCTGCGCGCCACCTTCCGCACAATTGCATTCCCCCGCAAACCTCACCGCATTCTCCCCACCCCCTTCATCCCCGCGCGCGGAGTGCAGCGGCCCCACTATAAGAACTTTCGCTCTCACTGTCCGCGTGGACTCGGCGCTCGGCTGCGCGCCGTCGCCAGCGGAGAGGTGCGCCACTCTCCGCAAGCCGCGCCGCTTCTTCCGCGAAACATCGGGTCTTGCATCCCTCGCCCCATCTGTCCGGTTCGTTGCTCGCCGCGGGCCCGCAGCAGTGCTACCAATAGCCCTAGGAGAAGCCCCACCAATTGCGCTGCTAGCAGCCCCGTTAGAAGCGCAACACTCTGTGCGCGCAGCACTCGGTGCAGCAGCAGCGCGCGTGCCTAGTGCCTGCACCTCAACCAGCCGGCCTATCTCCGCGCCTTGCCGTGTGACGGCGGCGCGCGGCGGCAGCGGCGACGACGCGAGGACTGCTGCGGAGAAGGATCGAGCCGCCATGGCGGCGTGCCGCGCGGCAGCCCGTCGACGGGGCGAATGGACGGCCGACGGATGAACGGACGGCCGACGGGACGAACCGACGGCCGCTCGCCTGCAGCAACGCGCGAGGGGATGCTCACAGTGGATGCGGTGGAGGGAATGGGGAGACACCAAGGGATGATTGACAACTGGTAGTGATGAGACTGTCCTAGCTGGATAAATGTCGATAAGAATTTGTGTTCTGTGATGTGACGTTTTGGGTGTTGGCTGCTGCTTGCTAGTGGTTGAGGGTTTGCTCGCACAAGTGGGTTTCCGCAGGAGCTGGAATGCCGCTGCTGCCTGTCACAGCGAGGGGAATATTCGTGGCGACGCGCGCTCCACGTGGGCACATCGATGTTGGTTCATTGGCCATTCATTCTCAAAAAGGTCTGTTACGCGATACTGGCACCCAGATTAGGATGTCACAGTCGGCTTCATCCAGCTAACATGAATGTGCTACTAATTAACCTCCCCTTTCAAACATGAAGCTCGTGCCTTATCACCCGGATAGTAGCGCGTATGAGCTTATAATAAAAAATATTTATTTAAGGGGGGCGCTTATAATTGAGTTTCGAGCATAGGCGCATATGCTTATAAAATGACAATTACAAATTTATGCATTAGCGTACCAAATTGTACCTTTGATTGTTGTCATTTCAACCGAGTCAAATTAATTGTCAGAAACTGAATTGTGTGTTTATTGATGTGGGTTGGGGTACATATAGCAAACCCTAATATTTGTACCCCCTAAGACAAGCCTCACTACAGGCTGTTACGATATGGTTTTACGGAGTTTCTGTTTGTACTGAATGTTCGAAGTGTAGCAGCGAGTATCTCAATATCGAGAAAATGTTGATTGGACAATCGAGCTACAGAGGCGCAACCGCGTACAGTGGTTGCGACCCTCGTGGCAACCGAAGCGACAGATTCTACAGTGGGCTGCACGCGAAACTGACCTGCGGGGCGCGCCAGGATACCGCGCCCTTTCCGAAGCTGAAAAGTCTCGCCAGCGCGACTGTAACAAGGCAACCCAAGCGACGCAGCGCAACTGTTATACAGTTGCGCCACGGTAACCGTTTCCCTTATGCGTTTGCTATATAACAGAATGTAATGCCTTGTTATTATTACACAATTTGAATCCTTGTGTCCGGCTTTCCCTCAGCCGCCGCAATGGCACCATGTGCCAGGCCAGAAGTGCTACCTCTGAGTGACCAATTGCCCCGCTGCAAGGACGTCGTTATCTTCCTAGAGTATTTCCGCTACTCTAGCGACTTTATGGATTCTAACACAGGCTACAATATTTGACACACCCCCATAGCCTAAGTGAGGAGTGTCTAGCAAAGACAAAAGAGTACGGTCACAAGACCAGTCGCAAACAAACGAAACTCATGGTGGGACACAACGTCACCACACATTCCGAGCGCAAACAAAGAGCCACAAGGCCAGTTCAAGAGTTCACAGGTATATAAGTAATTGTCAAATGTTATAGCCTCTAGTGGGTTATGCTATATGGGGTACAAACAGTTAGGGTTAGGCATTTGTACCCCAACCCAATCAATCCAACTCATTCCGCTGTTTCTGAGATGGTATCATCAGTAGGTTCGCCGTTCCTAGGACTCACCTAGTCGTCGCCGTTTCTCGGCCGCCTCCTCCCTCCGCGTTTGCCCTAACACGCCTTAGCCTGCGCCACGCCAACGCGCCACGACATCGCGCCACGTTAGCACACCGCGCTGCCCGCTAGCGCACCGCGCCAACTGCCCGTCGACCTGCAGCGCGGCCCACCCGTTAGCGTACCGCGCCGCCCGCCCGTCGACCTGCAACGCGGCCCACCCGCTAGCGCACCGGGCTGCCCGCCCATAGGCCCGCGCATCGCGCCGCCCGTAGGCCCGCGCGTCGCGCTGCCCGTAGGCCCGCCCGTCGACCCACTGTGCCGCCCGTAGGCCCGTGCGTCGCGCCACCTGTAGGCCCGCGCATCGTCGCCCGCCCGTCGCCTAGCCGCGCAGCCCGCCCGTCGGCCCGCCGCGCTGCCCGTAGGCCCGCGCGCCGCATCGCCTGCCCGTCGACCAGCTGCGCAGCCCGCCCGTCGACCCGCCGCGCCGCCCGTAGGCCCGCGCGCCGCGTCGCCCGCCCGTCGACGAGCTGCGCAGCCCGCCCGTCGACCCGCCGCGCCGCCCGTAGGCCCGCGCGCCTCGTCGCCCGCCTATCTACCCGCCGCGCCGCCCGCCACCCAGTACTCCGCACCGCACGCCCCATAGCGCGCCGCGCCGCCTACCAGCCAGCGCCCTGCATGCCTCCCCGCCTGCCCACACGTTACTGACTGTCTCCCCCTCCCGCGGCTGGCAGTCGCGCTCTCTCACTTTCGCCCCCTATGGCGACCTCCCGAGTACTTCGTTTTGACCCTGAGGGGAGACCGATTGATTTTAGTACGTGGCTTACGCAGGCGCAGCGCCACCTTAAGAGCCAGCGGCAGGATGGCGTGCAGTTGTTCGCACACGCGTCCGGCACTCAGACCGCCCCTCCGCAGCCTCGGCCGCTGCCCCCTACCCCACCGCCTAAGTCTGAGCAGGAGGCCGACTACCAGCGCCAGCTCCTCGCTCGTGACGTGTGGGAGTCTCGTGACGCCGCTGCCTGCCTCGCCCTGACCGACCTTCTCCCGCCGACAGAGGCAGTCCACTTCGCTCAGGTCGAGTCTGCTGCAGATCTGTATAAGGCTATTGTTGCTCGCTACTCCACTCCCTCCTCTGCTTCGCTCAGTCGCCTCCTCGTACCCTTTATCTACCCTGACCTCGCCTCCTTTGAGACTGTCTCTGACCTCGCTACCCACCTTCGCTCCCTTGACGCTCGCTTTCGCGCTGCTTGCACTGAGGACCAGCTTGCCCTTGCCCCGCCCCCTATGTGGCTCACTATTCACTGGCTAGTCACTCGCCTCCCTGACCGCCTAGCCACAGCCCGCGACGCGCTTCTTCTGAAGCACCCCACTGAGCTTACCATCGATCTTCTTGAGACCGCTCTCTCGAAGATCGAGAGTTACCTCCTGACTGTTGCCTCTGCCTCCTTCGCGCCTCCTCCTCGTTGAGGGGTGTGCGGTACCACAGCTTCCCACCTTCACTGCCTCACTTGCCACCCCCACGTCTTCTGCCTCTGAGGAGACGGCGGCTGTTTCTGTCTCTGGCGGACAGAAACGTGGCAAGGCCGGCAAGAAGGGCGGGAAGGGCGGCGGGGGTACTGGGGGTGGTGCGGGTAGTGGCGGCGGCGGTGGGCCAGGTGGTGGGAGTGCTGGTGGGGGTGGCTCGGGCCCTAACAGCACTCCTCTCGACGGTGGAGTTTTCACTGGTGGTGAGGGGTTCCAGCAGCAGCAGCAGCAGCCGACTTCTCAGCAGCTGCCACCGCCTGGACAGCAGCAGCAGCAGGGACAGCAGCAGCAGCGACAGGGCCAGCAGCAGCGCCCGCCACAGCAGCAGCCTCAGCAGTGGGGCCCTCCGCAGCAGTGGGGCCCTCCGCAGCAGTGGGGCCCTCAGCAGCAGTGGAGGTCTGTGGGTCCCCCGAGCACTGGGCGCAGTGGCGCCCCCTCCAGTCGGGGACCTCGCTCGGCCGGCCGCGACGTTGGTCCCTGTGAGTACTGGATCCTTACGGGTCCTCGTAGGGACTCGTACTGTGGCCGCCCCGACCACTCTGCTGCACGCTGCTTCAGTCGTCTCGACGACCTCTACCGCTTGCACCACGGCCCCTCCGCCCCCCCCGCCGCCACGCTGGGTATGCTTCTTGCTCGTGGTATTGCTGTTTTTGATATGACTATGGATGATGCTAGGTCATATGTCATGTATGCTGATGTTGACTATAGTGCTCCTGGATCTGTGTACTTGCCTGTACCTAGCTTAGGATCTTTGCCTGTTGCTAGAGTAGGTGCTAGTGTAGGATCTTGTTTAGCTACTAGTACAGGTACTCCCTCGGCGGACGCGTCTCTCTCCTTCACACTGGACTCAGGAGCGTCGCACTGCTTCTTCCGCGACTGCACGACTCTCTCTCCGCTACCGGCGCCTGTCCCTGTAGCACTGGCCGATCCCTCTTCGGGACCGGTCATTGCGACTCACGCCACTACACTCCCGTGCCCAGCTGCTCCTTCCGGTTCCCTGACCGGCCTCCACGTTCCTACGTTCTCTAGGAACCTGGTTGGTGTGGGCACCCTGGCGAGACAGCACGTCGGGGTCTGGGTTGAGCCTTCTGGTGACACCGCGGTCTGTGTGGACGGTGACACGTACGCCCCCTTGGCCACTTTTCGCCAGGAGCCGGGCTCCGGTCTGTACACCCTCCGCACCGACCCCCGTCAGGTTCCCCCGTCCCACCAGGTAGCCGGGTCCAGTCAGGTTGCTGTGTCAGGTGTAGTTGCTGCGTCGTGCTCGTGTCGGTCGCTTGCCCACCCCTCCCTACTATGGCACCACCGCCGAGGTCACACTTCCCTCCCTCGTCTCCGCGCTATGTCCAGTCAGCGTCTTGTCTTAAGCCTCCCCCGGGTCCTCCCGCCACTTCCGCTGTCCCCAGCTCCTCCGTGCGGTCCTTGTGTCCAGGGTCGGCTGCGCGCCACCCCTCACTCCTCCTCCCTTCGTCCGGCCACCGAGCCCTTTGAGACTCTCCACTTAGACGTCTGGGGCCCCGCTCCCCGCCTTGGCCCTGAGCGGGAGAGTTTCTTTCTGGTGGTCGTTGACGACTACTCTCGGTACACCACCGTGTTCCCTTTGGCGAAGAAGTCCGACGTGACTTCTACGCTGATCCGGTGGCTCCTCGCCATTGAGGGCACTCGTGGTCGTCGTGTCAGTTGTCTCCACTCCGACCGTGGGGGTGAGTTTCGCTCCGGCATTCTCGCTAGATTCTGTGCTGAGCAGGGCATCACCCAGTCCTGGACTCTTCCAGACTCTCCACAGCAGAATGGGGTTGCTGAGCGCCGCTTAGGCATGGACATGGAGATCGCCCGCACCTCCATGATCCACGCCCGCGCGCCCCATTTTCTGTGGCCCTACGCGGCTCGGTACGCCGCTCACCAGCTGAACCTCTGGCCTCGTGTCTCTCGGCCAGGGGCTTCACCGACCAGTCTTTGGACAGGGTCCCCTGGTGTTGCGTCGAGGTTTAGTGTCTGGGGCTGCTTGGCTCTTGTCCGCGACACCTCTGCGGACAAGATCTCACCTTGCGCCGTCCCCTGTGCCTTCCTTGGTTTTTACAGAGGACTCCTCTGACTTCACCTTTTACCACCCACCCTCCCACCGGTTCTTTGACTCTCGTGACGTCCGTTTCGACGAGTCCGTCCCCTACTACGTCCGGTACCCCTGTCGAGGTCCTCCCCCTCCCCTCTTCCTGGCTCCAGCTCCTCCTCCTCCCGCC